ATCGGTAAACAAACTACAAACAAACCAAGTCGCCATGTTGAAATTACGTCACAGGGGCAACTCGTACAACAAAATCTTATCCGACTTCAACGTCATAAAAGGGGCGTGTTTCCGACGGGAAGTGACGTTTTTCGTGACGTTTTCATCCGAGTTCCGACTTGGAGAGAAATAATCGAACGCACCAACACCACTGGCAAGACTGTCAGCATGCAGCTGTATATATCGGTAAAATGAAGGCTAAAGAGCAGTGTAAGGGAGTTAGAGATGAAGCAACTGAATGTCAAATTCAGAATAGGGTACAAAAAAATATGGGAAAAGGTTGGACATGCCATGCTAAAGGTGTACTTTTCAGGGCAGGGCATCTTGTCAAAACTGAAGGGACAATGAATGGAGTAAAATGCAGGGAGGCATTACAAGAAAACCTGCATCAATCTGCAAAAAAACCAAAAACCAAACTTGAGCTTGAGAAAAAGTTTACCTTTCAGCAGGTTAATGATCCTAAGCATGAGACCAAAGTAATACAGGCATGATAGTGATTGAACACCAAAAAGGTGAATGTTTTACAGCAGCCAAGTCAAAGTCCAGGTCTAAGTCCTATAGAGAACTTTCTTTGACTTTCTTTGAATATTGCAGTCAACTAGCGACGTTGACCTGGAGAATGTCTACCATGAAAAATGGGCAAAAATCAATCCTGAACAGTGCAAAAAGCTGGTAGCTATTTACCCCAAAAAACTGTTATTGCAGCAAAAGGTGACTACAAAACACTCACGGGGCAGGGTTAAATACTTATGCAAGTAGCATTTTACAGAATTTCTAATTTCTGTAAAAGATTTGCTGACAAATAATTGATTTTGGCTTTTGAAATTTACTGAGAAGCTGTAAGTTTGCAAGAAAAATACCAACAGCAAGAATGTGAGTATGTACAATTTGTAATTCAGGCAAACATGACCATTTGTAGGGGCACTTGATACTTTTGCAGGGCACCGTAGGTCGCAGTAGAGAATTTCCCGGTGACTGACAAAGCCCACATCCGGAGACGAGCGCTTACCATCTCCCTGTACGGTGGTGATCTGGTGACCATCAAGGAAGAGGTCCACATTGGAGAGGTAGGAGGAGGGGCCTCTGTCCACGACCACCTCATTCAGCACCTACGATACAGAGCATTTGTTTCTCAGGGAGTTGGAAGGGAGCAAAAATGTGGACCGTCTGACGGTCCCTGTGGACAAGGTGGGGAAACACTGATGTAGAAGAATTAGAAGGTCACATGACCTGGGCCCTCAGCCATGTCCTGTCTCACGTCTTTTCCTGAACCTCAATAACGCACATGCACATGCACATGCACATGCACACGCACATGCACACGCACACACCACTAAGGCAAGATAATACCAAATAAAGCATCAGAACACAAGCACACATGCTCTGGTATTTCCACTAGTGGAAGTTTTCAATTTGTGACAATAAGCATTTAGATTTTTTATGATCCCTGATATTTCTCAATTCTGAAACAAAAATCCTTATATTTAGGAAAAATAAAAATATCGACGTCAATAAGCAGGTGGCATTTTCACACGTGTCATTCCATCATATCTGGGTCGAGCGACCACCAAAACACATAAAGGGACCAAACAGCCCATGACTCACTGCAAAAAGCCTAATTCACCAGTTAGCGAATCCACAAAGAGGGAAAACAGATCTCAGCAGAGCCACAACCATCATCCTCAGTTAGGTCTACCCCCACCCATACAGAAACAACAAATAGGGAAACACTGTATTCTCAACTCAGCAGTTTCTGTTTAAGAACACAGCACTGTAAAGCATGCGAGGATTCAGCAGAGAAATGGCTGTGTTATGACAGTCACCTCTGCAGCCTGAATGATCGACTTTCACACAGAGCAATCCTGCCGTAAACGGGCCAATGGTGCAGATCCCGCTGTTGACATCATTGGCCAGCTTGAAGCAGCAGGTTGGCACTGTGTTCAGATGCTCACCTGACTGAGTGAGCTAGCAGTACTCCGTTACTTGACTGTGCTTTCAGGAGCCGGCACACAAACAGATCTACAGGTTACTGCTCGGAAAGTGGCCCTCGGCAGCAGACAGTCCTGCTTACCTGGTACTGCATGGTCTTGCGAGCCACCTCAGTGTCACCGTTGGTGACAATCAAGCCCATTTCGTCCATGGCGTCCTGAGCGAAGGCCTTCTCACTGCACCCCCGCACCACCTTCACCCTCAGCCGGCTCCGCAGGACGATGGCTGAATTCCCTGTGCAAGGAAGTGACCCGTGAAGCCAGGGCTGGCTCTGTGGCCAGCAAGAAGAGCACCGCTGCACGCCGTGGCTATTTCCTGCTGAAACTGGCTGAGAAGTGGGGGGGGGGTGGGTAACTTCTAGGTGGAGAAACCACTGTGCCACATCTACTGACCACAGGCTCTGGCTCTGAAAAAGGTCCTCAGAGCCTGAACAGACTGGATTCCTCACTTGTTTAACTGTACAGTATCTAATCTGGGGAACATATGTACAGACAGCCATCACACTGACTGACGCAAGCGGCAGCGGGACTGGACTTGCGGAATCAAAACCCCGGCAGCGGAACGCGTATGCTGAGCAAACACCCCCGAAAGAGGGAACTTGACCTCTGCCCCCCCCCTTAAGTGGGAGACTAGCTCAGGCTCACCTTCAATGACCTGCGTGACCTGTGACTGGTATGTGTCGAAGTTGAAAGGGGTCAGGAAGCCCAGGGAGCCCAGGTTGAAGGCCATCACAGGGGGGACGCTCTCCTAGGGAAGGCAGATTGGGGGGGGGGGGCACACAGTTAGAAGAGAGAAAGTGGAACTGGGTGCTTGTGCTCTGACCTGCCCTGTCAATCCTGACTAATGGCGCTTTTCCACTGCCACCAGGCACCGAGCTGAACCACGAACTGCTGCTTCTCCCTTGTAAATGACGTGAGCAGAAACGGTGCCGACATGAACCTGCTAACTAGCACTAGCACGTCCAAAAGCGTGACCAAACCAAGCTGGTTGCATCACCACCATCACTGGCAGAAATGCACGGACATACTGGTGTTCGGTTCATGGATTATCTGAAGGAAAAAGCAAATACAGTATTCTATATATAATGTATTATTAGCAGTATTACATATCAGGACGTACTGATGCCTTCTCAGTAATTCGGTACCTCGGGGACAAATAAAGTTTTTTGATTGATTGAAAAATGTACATAGAACAGCTGAACAGAATGATTCATAATACAAATTTATGCAAGAAAACGTTAATTCTACTAGCATTTTATGCTAACATTAAAATTAGGACACAGTAAATCAAGATGATGCTGTTCACCAGGCGAACAGTAAATAAACATCTCTTTCGTTTTACGTCACTGTCGCTCTCCAAACCCGGCCTTTAACAAGCCGACCCTTCTGCAGTGGAAAACCGAAGCGAGCTGGAACTGCACTGTAACTAGTCTCTCTTTGAGGTATAGTGTGAGTACGGCTTGGTTTCTGTATGCCAGTGGAAAAGTGCCACAAAATGTCCCCCTGCTTCTGGTAAACAGCATGTAACAAATGAAACATTCATATTTATTATTTTTCCCCTTGCTATTTTTTAAGGTAGTGGTCGTCTGCAAGGTTTAAAAAGTTACTTTTGGCTTTTGATTCTTCAGTGGAGGATACGTAAAAATGAGCACTAGTCGACGCATTAAGGATTTACGTGACGACCACGGTGACTTGCCTGAAAGAGCGAGGAGGCATAGAGTAAGGTTCCATCTCCCCCGAGACAGATGATGAAATCCACGCGGTCGGAAATGTCATCAAGGTCTGGAAGCAGACGCAAAGCTTTGTTAGGGATCACAGACAAATGTGACATGAGCAGCAGGGCTGGAAATGCGGGTGGCTGCGGGTGACAGGGTGTGGGCGGGGCCAAGGCAGAGGGTGCAGGCAGACGCCAAACATACCTTCTTGGAACGTGCAAAACTTCTTTTTGACAGCCACTAAACTCTCGTCGCTGGCAATCGCCGGGTCCTCCAGTACTTTCTTCTCCACATAGACGATCAAGTTTTTCACCTAATGGGACAAAGATGTGTTCACACACTCTGCCTGAAAGGCAGGGATCACCATGGAGACAAAGATAGGGGAATGTGGGGTGTGAAATATTCACTTTGAGTAACGAAGGTAAGAGAAAGAGGAACGGACAAAGAAAGAAGGAACAAGTGGTAATCCTGGACATTTCTGTGTAAATAATGTTATTTTGTAAATGCTGAATGCACAAATTGCATTTACACCGATTGGAGTCTGAGCTTAGAGACTTCTCAAACACCCCCCTTTCTGTTCAGTTTCTGGTCGTTTGTGTTCTTCGAGAATCACCATCCAGCTCCGTGACTTTACACGCCCCAGGGATTTGTGAAGCGTGTTCGCGGCAAGTATGGTGGCCTCACCTCAGTCAGGAATATGCAGAGCTCCTTAAACGGCCGCCGCAAACTGGCGTCTCTGATCTTTTTGATGACAAGGACACTTTTTGGGGGATTGTTCCATGTTAATCTCTGACTGGCAGGGTCCTGGATGTGCCTGAGAAAGAGAGAGAGAGAAATGTAAAGTTTCACACTGCGACACAATAAAAAGAAGAAACTTTTGCTCTCATGTGTCCTTCAAAGCAAAGCAGCCTTCATAAAGCTTGAACGGTATGAAAATTTCACCCGCTGCATGTAGAGAAGTATTAAATCTTCCTTTTTTCTTTCCTTTTTGTGAGGCAAAGCTTCCAGAAAGATCACTTCAGGCCAGTATTTCAAAACTGACTGTGTGGAAACCTTGGTTGCTGGTAGGGGTTGCCCACTGGGCGGTAAGAACCAGACAGATGCACACGTGTTAGCATTGCTGCGCGTACTCGCATGTGGCACAGTGCACACACTCCCAGCTACCCCTGAGCAGGGCAGGACACTGACCCAGCCAGCCCAGCACATTCACTGCCTCTTGCTCTCTCCAAAGGCCCCCATTGTCCAGGCTATCAGGGCTGCCTTCACGAGCAAAGACGCCTGGCAGAAACTGAAAGTCGCCAGTGATGCGTTTCCGTCGGCGACGGGAGGACCCTCACTACATGCAGAGATGTTCTCTCCATCTCTCTATAAATACACTGCGTCCTCCTCTTCTCAGCTGGCTCGCGACTGCTCATACTTATATATGAACACATATGCATTTTGTATATTGTAGATTTAAAGGGCTAGGAGTGCCGTAGGATTTTTTAAAAAGCATGGATCAAACAAATGTGTCATGAAAAAATAAATGCCATATAAAAATACCTGTCTGGGCATACACTTACAGCAGTATACAGCGTTTAAAATATTCCCCAAAACATTTTTAAATCAGCTGTACTTCAAATGCTGAAGTTCTCCTTTGAACTTCCATTCTGCCGTGTCAAACTTCCATGTGAAGTTTTTGCACTGTACGTCAAGTTTTGCAAACCCCAAAAATTGGTGGTCGACCTAGACCTCTCACCATGTCCAGAACCGGTCGTTGTCACCGTCTCCCAGAGCCTGCTGCTGTACATGATGGTTAAACTTCATGGCTTCCTGCATGTGATACTTCTCCAGCTGGGAGTGTAAGGTATTGATCATGCCGCTATCCTAACATCCGCTGTGTCGCTTCTAAATGCACGGATTCACGTTAATCATGCTCATAAGGCTCCAAGAAGCAGAACGCTCAAGTACATCAGTCTGGCTTCAGTGCCTTTGACAAGACAACCATCAGCTTTCAGCCAAGACGACTCGTTTCAGCGTCGATCCGTGAATAATTGTCATTCTTCCAAGACTGCAGTAGAATAAGTAACTACCTAAAAACGTGCTATTTAAAGCTACTGCCTGAATTCTCTGTCACCCTGTCTGCTCTGGGACGGCCTCAACTCACTCTGCCAGTCAGTGAGCTCCAGTGTGCAACTTAAGATCAGCCTTGCCAGATGACATCACACTAATCCTGCCCCCTCAGAACAAAACCACACCCCCCTGGAATCAGCACTCCCAATGTGAGGATTCCAGAGAACAAGGAACTAGACGGACAACTATGGGATTTCCCAGCATGGAAGAGAAAGGTACACTATACTGGTCTTTATACTATAAAAATCAAACAGAAGGAGGAGGATTAAAATGACTAAGGATGCATTAAAGGTCAGTGTTAAATTACTTTTCACCCAAGTTTTGGGGGGGCAGTTGGGGTGCGGTCCAGTGAGTTTCTGGTATGGGTGTGGACGTTCTAAGCCTTCATTTGCGCATGACAAATACTTCACTGTAATACTACAGCCCCCCGACCCACCCCCGCCCCCTGCATCCACTAATCTGTAAACGACCGGTAGTGAGAGCCACAGACAGAATACCTGTTCTTCCAGATCAAACATGCAAAGGGGACCTACACAAACGCAGCAGTGCTTTCAACAGCAGACATAAAAAGAAAAACAATCACCGAAAAAAACACTCCAGCGGAAGGGCAAAACTCATGAATTTGTACGCTCTTGTGTACAAACAACAGTTTAAATTATAAATAAATAAATACATAAACAAACAAACATCCCAAGAGTCACTGGGAATAACGAAATCTGCTCAGTAAATTAGATGTTTGCAGGAAACATCCATTCTCTTATGTCCGGGCCGCAGAATCGGCACTAGCCATCATCACAGTGCGGTACAAGGGACCCACATTCCAGAGGACAGGCAGAAGCGGGACATCCCCCGTGTCATTTATCATAAAGGAAAATATATTGTATATTAGTGAATGAGAGGCCTTAAAAGCTGCACGTCATCAGGGCTTCAGGTAGCGACTCCTCTTTTGCACTTGGGAAGCTAATACATTTGGCTCAGTGCTTTATCAGGCAGTATTACCCTCCTGACACGACATCACTGCGCCATAAAAACAACCAAAAAAAAACATGGCAACAGGAAGGATGTGTTGGGTTGGGTCAGTTGAGATTACATTCAGTTTTTCTTTACTGGAAAGAGATTTAGGTCAGAGTTACCAGGGTGGAGGGTGTGGAGGCTAGTTAGCAGGATTTCAGCCTTCACTCTGGGACGGGCCGGGGAGGAGCTTAATGGCTCTTGAATATGAACAGCACTTCTCAGAAAAACATATTCGCCTAACATGAGCAAGAGAGTGAGTTATCCACTACTGTTTCTGGGTTCAGTATAATGAATATGTGCAACATCTGAAAAAGTGTGTTAATGAATGTACATAGAAATATATAGACAAGAAAATGTATATTATTCTCAATGTGCATCTGGGAAATGCAATTATTCAACAGATTTTCAGAAATATGTGAGCTCAATGGTCTTTGACTGCAAATATCAAGCAAACATACGCTGTCCTTAGGAAACAAAGTACTGAAGACACATTATTAGGCCACACCCACCCACCAGTCTGTGTACTCACATCACAGCTTTGGGATTCTGCAGCATGCATGCTTTGGGTCCAAATGTGGTCACGGGGCTCGGTCCATGCAGGGACTGCGTCCTCCTGCAAAACAAAGCAACGAAGGAGTGAGCAAGTGAAAGCACATCACAGTACTTGCACCACATCAAGGCAAACTGTAGGGGATTCCCCTGGGGGGGGGGCGGACTGCAAAGGGCGATGCCGTCACATCCCAAGGCGTTGATAAAATGTGCTATCGATTTTGGCAGAAAGGCCAACCTGTCATTCAGAAATACAAAGCCTAGTACTGCAGCACGCACCTCACAGATTTAGGTTATTTTATAACATAAATGAACTGGGAATAATTACTACTTTTTACAATAAAAAGAAAATGCCAATTTTAAACACCTACAATACAACACATCTCGCAAAGCACAATGGAAACACAGAAGACTTTATTCCATGCCAGCCTCATGATCATTGGGGTGACTGGCTTTTTGTCTTAAACTGCTCAAATGCTGTTAAAATGACATCTACACATGTGCCTTTTTGAGGACTGTTATCTATCCATCCATCCATTTTCTGTACCCACTTGTCTCACACAGGGCTGCAGGGGTCCGGAGCCCGGAAGCTACCGGTGCAAGATGGGCAATTATATATAAGCAAATATTTACAGAAAAGGTTCATCACACGGTCAGCCAAACCATGGACCACAGTCACCAAAAGGAGTTCGATATTAATCAGCAATATAAACAGCAAGGGGTTGATCGTCAAAACAAAAACTGTATTTCATCTAGTGCAGAAAATACCAGCAAAAACAGGATCAACTCACAACACAATTCAATTGGAGAACAGCACTTACTGACCCCAAGTGAAACTTGAAAAAATTATCAGGACCAAGCTGGTTAACATGATTCTCATGTTCTTGTCCTTAATTGTAGTTTCACAAATTGTAATTTGGTTATTTTATTTACATTTACAGCATTTGGCAGACGCCCTTAGCCAGAGCGACTTACATAAGTGCTTTAAGACTCTACAATGAATTTTTCCCGATACTAGCTCAATAAAACCAAGGCTATGAATACCATCGATCTAATACTTTGTTGGGAAAGTGCGTTTTTTTTTTTTTTTTTTTT